GGCTGGGAGCAAGGGTAGCAAGGGTAGGTGTGTGTGTGTGTGTGTGTGTGTGTGTGTGTGTGTGTGTGTGTGTGTATGTATAATAAATATAAATATTCATATTAAAAAAACCTGATCTGATAATGTTCTGTCTACAAGAAACTTCTTTAAATTTAATGATGTAGGTTGTTTGAAAGAAAATGACTGAAAAAAGATATACCATACAACAGTTACAATTTTTTAAAAATAGGAAAGGTAACATTAATGTCATATAAAGTAAACTTCAGAGAAAGAAAGATTACTAGAGGCCAAGAGGAGCATTACATAATTATAAAATGTTGATACAGCAGGAAGATACACAACTCTAATGGGTCTTCAATGTAACAGAGCTTCGGATGTACATGAAGCAACAACTGGCAGAGCTGAAAGAAGAAATAAATACAGCATTATAGCTGTGCGCTGTCAACATCCTCCCTCGGCAACTGCTAGAACTACTATTAGAAAGTCAGCCAGGATATATGGGACCCAGATAATAAAATTAACTGGCAGAATGTAAATGACATCTGTAGCCCACTTGGTAAAACAACAGCAGAGGACATATTTCTTTCAAGTTCATGTGGACACTCACCAAGATAGACCACATTCTGCATCATAAAACAAAACTTCAACAAAGAGTGCACCATCAGACAATACACATCAGTGATCAAAGAATCACAGAATCTCTAGCTAGATGACCTGGTACATCCCACTGTTATTTAGGAGATGCAGAATCCAAAAGAATAAAAGTTCCTTGCCCGAGGTCACACTTGTGTCTTCGGAATTTAGATACCCACACATTTTTATACATTGAATGTTCTGTGATTATAGTATGATGAGGATTTGAAAATGATAAAAGCTGAGATGTTAAAGACAAAAAAAGATTCATGAGTCTGTACTCATAGTTAAAATAAAAAGAGTGGGGGTTGGGAAGAGAGAAGTGGAGCAAAAGTTTTTCTTTAGCATAAGAATCAGAGCTAATAAAAAATAGCAAGTATTACAGCCGTATAATTGATACTGGTAGGGAAACTAAATGGATACTAAAATGACCAAATGCAAGGTTGTAAGGAAGAAGGTTATTCACATTGTCTCAAATTGTCACCCCCCCCAAATTACTTATAAGGGGGAGAGATGACGTTTATAATACAAAGATTTGGCACACACACAACCTTAACCAAGTGATTAAACGTAACATCCCCAATAATGGGATGTTGTGCCTCCTGATGTGTGCAGTGAGAAGTACACAATAAATGATTCTTACCAAAATGTTTAGTTTGAACTGAATACTGAAGAAAGATGAAATAAATCAAAGTAGATCAATGCAATGTAATATTAGAGCTCTAAATAGATTTAGGTAGCTCTGTATGTCCTAATACGGAATGATTTCCAAGATATGTAACATGAAATAAAGACACAGAATGTTTTGAACAGAAAACAACAACAAAGAAATCCATAACATGCAGTATTCTACAAGACAACGGGCCTGGACCCTTTAATATCCAAGTGTCATAAAAGACATAACAAGGTGGGAGGGAATTTTTAGGTGAAATGAGACTTAAGCAATCTGATGACGGAATTCATGTACAACACGTGATTGCTTCTCAGCTGGGAAAAAAGATACAATTTTAAAAAAACTGTAAAGAACATTTTGGGGACAAATGGGGAAGTTTTACTGTGAAGCGTGTATTAAATGATATAATGTGTCTATGTTAAATCTTCGTGTATGATAATGTCATTGTAGTTATGTTGTAGAAAATCTTTTTTCTAAGGCCATACATGTTTTAGAGAAGAAATTATGTCTATGGACAGAGACAGGATGTAAAGAAAGGTTCCCCAAAGTTAAGAATTTATGAAATAGGTGAATCTGTATGAAAAGTATAGGGCTAATCATTGTACCAGACTCTCCTTCAGGTGTGAAATTCTTCAAAATAAAAAGTTGTGTCTTGAGGGGAGGATGGAGATTAAAAACTAAATGGCCAAAGAAGAAAAAGAAAATTAAAAACTAAAATTTATTTCTACAGATTTAATTAAATGGAACCATATTTTACTATGTTTAAAATGGGATTTGCTTAAGCTGAACTACCTTGGATCATGGGAGAAACATTATAAATTATATTTATATTTAATTCTTTATGAAAAGGAGATAAGCTCTATAGATATTAAATACATGAGCTGAAAATGCTAGGTGTATGTATTTCACAAGTGAATATACCTACATTGAAGTGAATGCTGAAAAATATTTTCTAATTGAGGTGTATGATTTTAAAATATACTTTGAAACCACTGTACACAGAGCAGTATTTCTGAGAGTGTGGTCTTCTGACAACCTACGCTGGAATAAGCTGTGATGGCTGACATGGTAGGGTTTTGCCCCAAACATAATGAAGAAGATCAACTGAGAGTGGACCTGGGAATCTAAATTTTGATGAGTTCCTATAATTGTTGTTTACTGAATTTTGAGAGCTATTAAACAAGAAAAAAAAGAGTCCCAAAGATTAGGACACCCAAACAGGATTTAAAAATAATTAAAGTATTTGTAAGCAAGGTGAGTCTCAGATTACTTGTCTGAGAAGTGGCTATGACAATAATTTTACACCTACCTTTCCACAGTACAAAAATGTGAGCTATTTGTTATGAGCGAAACAAAGACGATCCAATTACACTAAGGTATAAAGAGACTGCTTTGTATTTGGTACTCTAACTTCCCTGCCCACCAATCTCAAATCTCCCAGTACTGTTTATTTACTAATTCAAATATTTAAATAGTTGATAGTCTGAATTTAGGAGAGATTTTGAGAATGTGGGAGTTCTTGCACCTATTTCTCTCTCTTTTTGTGTATAAAGCTTTGCACACCCTGATTGACAATTTACAGTGATCACTACATATTTAACATAAATATTTATTCAACTCTAGAGGCACTTCAGATAAGATTCAGAGGGCCTCCAGGGACAAGAATTTCATAAACAAATTCTACCATGTGAAATAAAGTATTTTTGCCTCTTTGTGTCCCATATGATTAACATGCCATAAATACGCTATGTTGTGTGTTTTATTACCTTAGTGCTGGTAAACACTCTGGTCAAAATTAACCCTGAGTCAACAACAACTCAACACAGTATTCTGTTTACATTTATCAACCCTCAAAATGGAAGCTGATATTTGTAAAACTCATACATTATGTTAATTGGTATGCATACCTTTATCCCTAGTGCCATTTTGTTTTGCCGTTACATAAAATTACTGGAAATTTTATGGAAAAGAATCCACTAATATTTAAACATCTGAATCAAATCACTACTATTGGATTTAAATTTTAATTAAGTAAAAGGAGTAAATAATCTCAAGACTACAGTTGCTTTAGTAGAATAGTAATCAAAGCAGCTACTTTGCATGCATTGATTACTGCTTCATTCATTTATGCAACTTTTAGGTATATAATCCACAGTGATATTTCAGAAGTAGAATACCACACAAAATCAAAACACAATATGCATATGTATGTATGTGTATTACAAATATGAAGGAGTTCTGGAATGTGCATATGACAGTTTTCAGCACCAAATAGATACTCAGTAGTCACTGACTAAATATTCAACTCCTGCTTTATCAACATATATGCCAACACTGAAATACACATTAAGGTAGGAATAAAGCTATGAGTTCATGTCATCCCTGCCATTAACAAGCAGACAAATTCGCAGGTTTGGAATATGGTTATATGAGCCAGCGCACACACATACATCCAATAGAGATGTGCCCTTAAATTCTTAATGTGTACATCAGGTCCTAATTTCTAATGTTTTAATTCAGATCCTTGCTTTCCATTCCTGGCTACCTTCCCTCTTCAACCTCTATTCCAGCTAGCAGGGTGGAAACCTGAGAGCAGGGGGCAGGGGTGGAGGACAGAATACTGATGAGAAAGAATTGTGGGAATGCAGTCCATGGATACCAGTCACTGAGCAAGGGTACGTGTCCAGGCTGAACAAGGAGACCAAGATGAGAAATCCAAGCATGTATGGATCAGCCTATGCCCGGGTCTGATGGCAGAATTAAAAAGAGAAAGGAGACACCCAAGAGCTGAGAAAATGTGTAAGGAGTGGCAGCCAGGGGCATGTCTTGAGGTGCTTGGATAGGATGGAGGCAGGCGTCTTTCCCTGAAATCTGAGTGGAGGAAGCAAACAGAGGAGTCATTGTTTAGAGCCTCATCAGTATGGGGCTTTAGAAGCATCATCTGTAAGCACACAGTTCAGAATGACAAGGGGTCTTGGAGAAGACAGCTAGACAGGTCCAAGCCCCTGCTGCATCACTTACTCATTACAATGGCTTTCAGAAATCTCTAAGCCTCAGGTTCCATACCTGAAAAGCCTAAGAGCTTTTTTTTTTTTTTTTTATGATTGAGCGCAGTCACGTTTATAGAGCTCAACTGTGGAACATAGTGGGTGTATAACAAATCCTAGCTTCCTCAGCTATTTGAAAGCTTCTTGGTAGCATCCTGCTCCTCATGGGACTCATTAATGGTCTGCTTGGGAGACGTCTCTGCTATTCTCCTGGTGTTCAGGCCAGCTCCTCTTGAGTCACCCTATCTCATTCACCTTTAGAAGCTGGCATGGATTAAGATATGAATAAACCCCTGAAAAATAACCTTTTCAATACCTTACCTTGCATAATGTTCAATGGAAAGAACTTAAGAGACACACAGTAGAATTAAAGAACTAAAATTTAATTAAATGGAATTAAAATAGTCTTTGAATGTCAAAGGGCAATACTTTTGAGAGGAGTGATGAAATGGAAAGAGCCAAGACATCAGCAGAAGGAAAGACATTAAATTGGGTAATATAAAAGGTCGAATGAGTTTGCAATTCCAAAAATGTTGCCTTCTAGGCAAAATAATGATTTTTAAAAGGTATTTCTCTCTCTCTCTCTCTCTCTCTCTCTCTCTCTATCAGTTCTATCATCTATCTACCTATTGAAAGAGAAACAAGGAATGCAGGATCTGAAATGTGTACTGTGAGATCTCTCTCACTCATCAGTCACCGTCTTGGTGCTACATTATTTAGTCTTGTAATAAACTTCCCTAAGGGATCTCCGTTAGTGCCACAGCACCTGCAGGATCATATACATCTTCTTTTGAAAGACAGCAAGGGATTAATTAGTTATATCATGAAATAATTTCCAGACATTTACAAATAAATATTTCAATAAGACAGTACTAATTTAGCACCATTTTTAAAGAGTACATTTGGCATATATGTTAAACATTTTATTCTTCTTGTCAGCCATGTGCCCTTGTGGCCCTTCAATAATTCAGGCCAAATTATGAGGTCTAGTCACAACTCATAAGGAGTATGAATACAAGAAGACATGTGCATGGTGGTAGAAAAGAAAAATCCACAAAAGAAAGGAGGTTTTGACACACAGAGACTTCCTCAGCAAGAAAAGGAAAGGAAGAATCTTTGCATAAAGTAAAAGGAGAAAGTAGAAGCAAGATATGAGGCCAATATCTTTCTTTATCTCTTGTCTCCTCGTGTTGAAGGAGAAAGGGGGAGAACCTGACAGTCTGAACATTTAATCAAAAAGTTACTTTACTTAAAAGACCATTTTCAACTACAAGGCTAACAAATCTTTGTCCAACTTACTGTTTTTTCCTGTTGCATGGCAGAAAGAATTTTAGATCAACTAAATTAAGAAGCCACAAATTATTTCACAATTTATTTGTAATGTGAAAATCTTTATCCAATATTGTTTTTTACAACACTGTCAGAGTTATAAAGTGGTTTGACTACAACTGCCTTGAAAATTCCCTTCCCTGGACAGACCCACTTGTCATCCTTGTGTACTTCTGAGCCCTACAACTGGTATAAATTGCACAGACACATATTTTCCTGGTACCTATCTAAATTTTTGGTTTCCAGTCCCAGCCAAATACAGTATCGTTTATGTTTCAATTTTGCAGCTCCATCTTCGTTTTGCACCAGCAGTTTCTTCAAACCGGTATACCACTTTTCAGATCTCCTACTATATCTCCTTTCCTCAGCAGATGAAAATGTAAACTTACTGTTCTTAATTCCAAAGCCCCTCTACCACCTAACAATTCATCTACATTCACATTTGCTTTATCTTACTCCACCTGCCCAATGGTAGAAATGCCCCTCATGTTTATGGCTCTTCCTCTACCCCGACTCTGATCTCAGTCCTCCCAGAGCCTCAGCCATAGCGCCACCCCTTCCTCCTTCACTGGCTTCTTCCCTCTGCTTCTACATATGCTCAAGTCGGTTCCGCATTAAAATGCTGACTTCCCTGAGCCTGCAATCAACTTTAACTAAGTACTGCTATGTCTCCCCTTCTCATCACAGCCGAAGTATTCATAAGGGAATTTTACGTTAGATGACATTATGTTCCTAGTCTTTCATAATTATTTCATGCCAAAAGCATGAAGAGATGATCAGCAAAGATGAAAACGCCAACAGGTAAATAAATGATAGTGTTCCGCTTCAGCATTATTCAAAAATTAGTGAACTTGCAATGATGATAAAATACAATTTCCCCCCAATCACACTGATGGAGATTAAGAATAATGGTACTAGTTAGGGCTTATAAGGTACAGGAAAGCAGGTAATGTCTGTTATATACTTCTGATGACAGCATGAACTGCAGTAGTACAAACATTTTGGAGAGTAAGTTTGTTATTTATACCAAAAACCTAAACATATGTATTCTTTTATTCCCCAAAGTGGAGCCACATAAAATGGATCATAGTAATAGTAGTAGTAGTAGTAGTAGTAGTAGTAGTAGTAGTAGTAGTAATAGTAGTAATAGTAATAGTTTCAGAAAACCCATGAGCTTATTTCTATTTCAGTCCCACATTTGGTCATTAAATAAAAAGTGATTAAAAAAACACCACACAATCTAATTAAAAACTTGCATCCTCAATATGACATGAAAAAAGGAACAAGCTTGGTTAGAGCTAAAATTCAATCCAACTGCGATATTTATAAAGAAAAGAGGGAAATTAAACAGTCATAACACTTGAATATCTATAAACCTTAAGAAATTAGCATTCACATATTTAAATAACATGAGAATTTTGAAAATCTACTAATTTATATATTTGGCTTTACAGATAAAATTGGAAGAACATGACTTGGTACACAGATTTCCAATTTCTGATTCTGGGTCCACCATTTACAGACTATGATTTCAGCCAAGATACTACATCTCTCACACCTTATGTTCTCTCTTTTATAAAATGATGCTGTTGAACTAATGGATCTCTAAAATGTCCCCTACCTCTAAAATGCTTTGATTGCATGATAAAACAGGTTTGATTAATGATTACAAAATAACGTATGGAATGTATAAGAAAAATAACTTACTTGTTAGTATGATATTGACTAAGACATCTTCCTGGGTAGGGTTTTGGAAAGATACAATGATAGATGTACGGAGATGGAGGTATGTGGCTACTCTTTCTATATCTAGAGGCTGGGGGAATAATCCCACTCCAGACAGGCAGAATTTCCATTCTTTAAACTGTTTAAAGATAAACATTCATAACATATATGCTCTAATTGCATACATTTTATTTGCAACACTTAATAAATGTAACACACATAAAAATTTTGTCAAATTAGAAAACTCCTATTAATATTTAACATGCACTGTTTTATCTTTCCTTTCTTTTCCAAATTCCCTTTGATCTTATTGAAAAATCAAATGTGTCTTTACATTGAAAAAAAAAGAGGGCAAAGACCAGTATTCAAATATTAAACATGTGCAATGCACACAAGGTTACTGGAAACACAACAGAAAAATCTTTTTTTTTTTTTTTCATGATCAAGTAGGATTTATTCCAGGCATGCAAGGATGGTACAACATTCGAAAATCCATCAACATCATTCACCACATCAAAAAAAAAAAATGACAAAAACCACATGATCATCTCCATAGGTGCTAAAAGCGCATTTGAAAAAATTCAACATCCATTCATGATAAAAACTCTCAACAAAATGGGTATTAGAGGGTGTCTTGCCAATGGGTTCAGCTCTAGGCAAGTTCGCTGTGGATTCAATGTGACCAAAGAAATTGACAGCAAAACGTTCTTGGGGTGGAATGGTTATACCCACCTTTCTTTCCAGGTGGCAGGTCAGTCATTAAAATCCCATTCACTCAGAACAGAGAAATATTAATGCATTTTCTCCTCAAGGTGTTTTAAAAATCAATTTGTCTAACAAATTGGAAACTAAATACTGCATGAATTTTCCAAAATTTCAGGGTGAATTTCAAGTGAAATTCAGAGAGTTATCACATGAAGGCAAAAAAGATGAGGTACAGATGGAAGTCCCATTAAAATGCTGTATGCCACATTACTTATCCCCCTCATCTAAGACAGACTATGTTATATGGAAGAATGGCTCAAAAATTATGTGAAGGAGACTGACGGTGGCCATTTTTCTTATCTGAGTTTCATAAGCCTGCACAGCTGTCTGAAGAGGTTCCCTTTGAATTCATGTAGAAGAAAAGTCCTCTGAGATTATATTCTGTGACTCAATCTGCCCTGAACACTTTGCAAATGGTACAAATTAACCACATCATTTTAAAAAATAAAAGCCAATGAACAAGGACCCAGTTGATAATGTCTGAAACTACGTATGTTTCTGGCCCTAAATTCTGATACAAAGAGAGAAACTTGTTTTAAGATAGTTTCAACGTAGGATAGGTGGTGACAGGATATCCATACAATGCTATCTCTGAGTAGGGAGGATTTAAAGCAAGTTTTACCTGCATTTAATCTTCAAATGGCTATATTACTTTTAGAGATTCTACTAGCAAAAATTTACTATATTTTCAGTGATGATGTCTTAACTTGATTACATAGGACTGGAGTCAAGCATAAGGGTTCAATTAAATTAACAGCTGCCTTATGTAAATTACTTACTTTTGGCCATTTAATAAAATAAATCCTAAATGACAGAAATGAGGGAATGAGTCAAACCAGAAAAACAAGATGGTCATGTTTTCATATTGCAACAAGTTGTCTGGAACCCTGGAGCTTCTAAGTTAAACCACATCCCACCATTATTAAACACTAGTATTCAAGAATTGCCTAGTATTGCTTAAATTGTCCTCTTGGGTTCAGAGAGGGAAATTTTAAAGTATCCCAATGAACATGTACATTTAAAAAAAGTAACTTTTGGCCTGTCCTTATCTCAAACTTCTTTGAAAGGACACAAAACAAAACCTTTCAAGATTCATTCCCATGTTTCTGAAAGATATACAAGTGGAGGTAAAAGAGACTAAATGAGCAAAGATGAAGAGCATTAGAGCTTGCTGAGAATCAACAGTTTTCCACAGACACAGGCGGCAAGGATCAGAGACTCATGCTGGGTAATAAAACCACTCTCACTTTGTCTTCTTCCTTCTTTTTGGCTATTCTGACCTTTAGATGCACTGGTTCACACAATAAAATATGAATGAAATAAATAATGGAAACTATTTGAAAAGGAAAAGGAAAGAGAAAAACCAAGGAAGAAAAAGCTCAGCACATAATGTTTGGTACCAAAGAGAAGGCCTGACCCCCACACTGGCTGCTTGCAACTGTTCCCCTTATACTGTTACACAGCAACCCAACCTCATTTAGAGACTCTGGCAGCGTAATGTGAATTCGTGGTATCTGCACTTGGGATGTCCTAATCAAATTAATCTCGGGATTCAGAATCTGTACAATTTTAGCCTATAGTTAGATTTTCGCAATGCAGGACTCTTCACATGGATCCAAACTAGAAAAAAATGAAACAAATAATAATTTATAGCCATTTCCTTAAGTTCAGCAAAGAGTAACCATCAGAAACTGCTAAAACTTATTCTATAAGAACTGCCACTACCAGATGTTAGATTGATCAGCTACTCAGTTGCGTGTGTCAGTTCAAATATATTTGTCATTGAAATCAACAAAGAGAAATCTATGAGTTTTCTCTTAATGGTTTAGAGTTATTACAAATACTTAGACTTAGAAAAGTAAACCCTGTAACTTTATTTACGAAAATACTTCTTTACATGCCTACACATACACAGTGTATATTGTATTTCCAAAAGTTCATTCAATTAATACTTTATGATGAACTGGTTTTGCTTGCAAAGATGTCGACTGGATGAATTAAATAAAAGAGGAAGATCTGAACGATTCAGGGTGAAAAAGAAAGAAAAAAGAAAGGCAGAAAAAGAAAAACGAAAGGCAAGAAAAACCACAGTGGTGAGGGCAATACACTGAAAAGGTTGAAGGGCTCTGGATCTGGCAGCTGAAAGGATGAATTATTGATTTGAGTCGAACCACAGATGAATCCTTGGAGATTTGCTACGACGTGGAAGGAGATGCTCAGAATGCCTGATATCAAGCACCAGCGTTAAAATGATTTCCAAAAGGTTTGTGTAGATGACTCACTGGTTCACGGTCATTTGTGTTTCATAAAAAGTTTTTCTTTCAACATCTGTGCCAGGATTTTCTAAAGCCATTAGGATGTATAACTGATAATTATCCTGCCGCTGTGCCAGACTATCCTTGAGTTTGATATAATTTCCATCAGAAAGGCAAGCAACTAAATTGTTTTCAATGATTATGAAGGGGCCAACTCTGCTATGAAGCAATGATTTAAAAGATCTGACTTGTTCAAATTATTTTTATAAAAGATTATAAAATTCCATCTGTATGAACATTACTGTTTGTTTTCTTTAATATTTTTGAGAGTCAAGCATATTTCCATAGTACTGCTTCAGGCCACGTGTAAGTCAGTAATCATGTAGGAAACTTAATAGCCTCAAATTTTTTTTTCTAAAAGTAAACCACACATTTTTGGAAAGAGGACACTTCAGTCACCCACTGAAGTGACATGGACCCCTACATTATATTTGATTCCACTTCTTCTAAGATGGCAGGACTTTGAAATTTCTTTGGGGTTCCCTAGGATTTAAAGTACCTATCTCTTTTTACTTTCACCCTTCTGGAAAAGTAAAAAAAAATGATAATAAATGTACACAGTTATGTAAAATATTAATTGGCAGTAAAAGCATTATAATTGCTTGGCAATTTGTGGGTAGCAATAAAAATAGTCATGAAGATGAACTGAAGCCTGGGTTTAGGTCTGGGTTCATCCTCTTACTACTTGCCTGATCTTAATTTTTCTGTGTCTGTTTCCTGATCTATAATATGAGGTTGATTATACTTCCACTATAGAACTCTGGATTGAGATAATTCTTAGAATGGCATGTAGCAAGTGTAGAGATGCTTAAAAAATGATTAACTGTTATGGTTTAAAAAAATTATTATTACTTAGGAACACCATACAGATGAAACAGAATGAAAAAATAACACAGTATCTGCAGGATCACATTTTCCAGAATTGTATACTTAAGTTCACGGAAATTTCAGTAGTAAAACCCAAGTCAGAAAATTAACATACATGCCAGCAATTTGGCATTTACATTAACATAACTATGCTTTAAACCTGAGTGCATATTCTCTTTAATTCAAGCAATCTATGGGTTTAAAAATGCCTTGTTTAGATGTCTGCACAATGTATATTTCAAAAAATTTCATTTAATTAATAATTTACAATGAACTTGTTTTACGTGCAAAAGATGTTTTTCCTAATTACAAAATCAGTAACATTCATTATAGAAATTTGAGAAATTCCTGAAAAGCTTAAAGAAGCTTAGAAATTATTCATTATCTCTGACCAACAGTAAACTACTTAATTTTTTTGTATAAAATACCAGGCTTAATATATCAAAAAACACATATATACTAGCTACAAATAGATGTATATAAATATACTGGAATACAAAAACTATAGGTAATTGATATATTAGTAAATGAGTGTGTATATTTATACATTTCTATCATTCAGAGAATATGAGTTACTAAATTTAAGTTTCATCACTAATAATAAGAGAAATGCAAATTAAAGCGACAATGTGGTATTACCTCATGTCTGTTAGAATGACTATCATCAGAAAGACAAGATAACAAATGATAACAAATGCTGGTGAGGATGTGGAGAAAAGGGAACTTGGGTACTGCTGGTGGGAATGTAAACTGATACAGCCACTATGGAAAACAGCATGGAGGATCCATAAAAAATTAAAACTATAACTACCATATGATTGAGCAATTCTACTTCTGGAAATATAACCAAAGGAAATGAAATGAAAACACTAACTCAAAAAGATATCTACACCCCCATGTTCATAGCAGCGTTATTGACAATAGGTAAGACATGGAAACAATGTAAGTATCCATTAAGGGACGGGTGGATATATATATATATATATACACACAGTGGTATGTTATTCAGCCATAAAAAATGAGGAAGTCCTACTATTTGTGACAACATGGATAGACCTTGAAGGCATTATGGTAAGTGAAATGAGTTGGACAGAGAAAGCCAAATACTGTGTGACCTCACTCATATGTGGAACCAAAAAAAAAAAAACCCCAAATTCATACAAAAAGAGATCAGACTTGCAGTTACCTGAGATGGAGAGTAGTGGGAGGGGGAAATGGAATAAGGTGGTCTAAAGATGCAAACTTCCAGCTCTAAGATAAATAAGTACTAGGGTGTAACAGATAACATGATGATGATAATTGACACTGCTGTCATAGGAAAGTCATTAACGGAGGAAATCCTAAGCATTCCAACCACAAGGGGAAATATTTTTTTCCTTTTTACTTTTCTTCTTTCCTTTTTATTGTATCTATATGAGAAGATGGATGTCAGCTGAACCTATTATGGTAATCATTTCACAATATATATAAATCAAATCATTATGCTCTATGTCTTAAACTTACACAGTGATATATGTCAACTATTCTTCAATTAAAAAACCATTATATGCAGGTAGTACACATTCAAAAACATTTTAAATAAAATCCAAAAATTATAAAAATGAGTTTCAATTATTCAACAGAATAGATCATATAAGGAACATTCTTACATAAAACTACTTGTGCTTATATTTGATTATTTTATTCCAACAAGTATCATAGACTGAAATGATTGGATCAAAGGGGATAAACAATTCTTAGAAGTTTCAAACATATTGTAAATGCTCTTGACATCTATTAATTCAAAATCCCATTATAATGCATAAGATTGCCTCTTTCAATCTGACCATCAATAAAACTGAGTTTTACCATTATTTTTCATACCTATTTGGGAAGTTAAAAAAATTCTCTAGTTTTTTCATTTCTTTTTTGCCCCAGTTTTACTGAAGTGTAACTATTAAAAATTGTATATAATTAAGGTATAAAACTTGGTTTGATATATGTATGCATTGTGAAATAATCACTATAATCAAGCTAATTAATATAGCCATCATCCATTATCTTACAAAGTTACCATTTTTGGTGGGAGGGTGGTGGTGGTGAAGACACTTAAGATCTACCTTCTAAGCAAATTTCAAGTATACAATACAGTCCTGTTAACTATAATGACATTTTTGTATATTAGAGCTCCAAAACTTACTCATTTTGCATATCTGAAACTTCCCTAATTGAAAAGAAATGTACTGCTGAGCGATCAGTAAGAGAAAGACTCATGGTATCATAGGGGATGAAAAAGTTAATCCTGTGTAGGGATATGAGAAGGCCTGTCTGAAGAAATGAAAATGCCTATAATGTTATTGATGCATTTTTTCCTAGTTCTTAACTTACCTTGTAACCTGCCATCAAGTAGATCCGATTTTTTTATTAGATATCACTCTGGTTTACCCTATTAACATGACACCATAATAATTCTGATTTCCTTTCAAACTCTCCTAAAGTACTTTTAGAAACCTGGTTTTTCTTCATGGCTATTTTGCCTTAGATTTACATGAGGGTTTAACTAGCATAATCCATCTACAACAGTCATCTACTCTTTGGCCTCACCGGCATGATTTCAACTGAAAAAACCCTAAATCTTTATAACCCATTTTATTATTTTTTTCATCTTGTCTCAGCTCCAAATATTCAGATGATGACAGATGCAAATGTCTTTTTGCTGTTCCATCAAAATCAGCAAGTACAAACCCATACTAAGCATTATAATCTTCCAGACATTTTTTTTCTTCTTGTTGAGTTTAGCTAAACAATGCCATAATATTCCTGCTTCCATATCCATTATGGCCAAGGTGCTTGCAGGGTCCTTGAACCGGCACTAGCTCCTCCCAGGGTGTCTGCCCTAAGTAACAACCCAGCAGAGTCACAAGTAAATGTTAAGTTCCTAATTTGACTCCTCCAACTGTTCCCCAACTAACCTACCTTCTAGGACCTTCTGCTTATACAGCCCTTAGAAAAAGCCTCCATGAAGCATAGCAAAAGTCCACTCTTGTTGGTTTGAATTGACCAATCCAGCCTTGGCCCAGGAACCCCAGAGCACTTCACCTGAGGATGCTAATAAAGGCATGTGCTCCAGGCCCTCTGCTTACTCTGCCTTAAACTCCTGGTGCGGCCTCTTGAGGGAAGGCATGTGCATTCACCAGGACCTGTGAGTAATAAACTTTTCTATTTCACCTTCCCTTGTGGTCTTTCCTTGACTCACCATCTGACACCCTGGGTCTCTACTTAACAAATGTTAATTTAACAAAACCACAACACTTTTAAATCACTATCTTAATATTTTTCTTTTCACCAAGATACAACCCAACCTTGTTATTATTTGGAATCAGTCCTCTCTCTCCTCTCTTAAAAGAGTCATCTAATGCTAGTCTCTGACATGTTTTCCATCTTTAGTGGTATTTGTCTATCTCCATCACCACCGCAAAAGACACTGTTCTCTTCACTTCAAACCCAGTTTGCTGTTGGCAGTGGCCTAATTGGATCCAACTTCTCTTCCCTTTCCAAAACATTTTGAATAGTGCCTAAAGCCCACTCTTAATCCATGTATTCTGTGATGGTTAATTTTATGTGACAGTTTGGCTGGACTATAGTGTCCACTTGTTTAGCTAAATAACAGTCTACATGTTGGTATGAAGGTATTTTTTGTTCTAAATGTGAACACTTAAAACAGTAGACTTTGAGTAAAGCAGATTACAAATCCAGCATGATGTGGGTGTATATCCTCCAATCAGTTGGAGGGCCTCAAAGCAAAGACTGAGATTACCTGAAGAAGAAGCAATTCTTGGTCAAGACTGAAACTTGGAAACCAAGCCTGAGCTTGCAGTTTGCCTAGATGCCCTGGGGAATTTGGACTGAAGACTGCAGTAGCAGCCCTTACCTAATTTTCTACCCTGCTTGGTTGCCCTAAAGATTTTGGACTTGCCAGACCCCACAATCATGTCAGTCAATTCCTTAAACTCAGAATGTCTCTCTCTCTCTGTCCTTCTCTTTCATTATGTTATATATATTATATATTATATATTATATATTATATATTATACATATATATTTATTATATATATTATCTTATATTAATTATCTTATATTACATTAATTATCTTATATTAGTATCTGTTTCCCAGAAGAATCCTGACTAAATACAAATTCTCTCAGTGAAGGTTTCTTTTTTGATATTCCTTTCTGTCTCCACAGCTTTGCTCCTGGTGACCCACTTTTCTCTCATGCCGTCTATGTCCCTGCTACTCACCGATGAGAGAACTCATTCACCCATTCTTCAGGAAATCTGCCTTGCCTATTCCAACTCTCCAGCATCTCATTTTCTTTTGAATTTCCACTAAAAAGATATGATGCTTAACCACATTCAAATAAAGCTGTATAATATAGGAAGGGAAAACAATAGCTTTTCCTTTCCTTTGCATATAAAGAAGCTTGCTAATACCTCCTATGGTGAAGTAAGAAAAGCACGTTCAAAGCATTGTTAATACACTCATTAACATTTTATCAGAAATTGTGTAATTTTTTAGTAACAACTATATATATGTTTTCACTTTCATAAGAGTAGGCAGCCTTCAAGAGGAAGTATTATAATCTATTAATAGCAATAACAGAACACAGAAAGGAAACTACATAAAGTTATTCATGAAATAATACAATAAAATTCTTACAGATACATACAACACACATTTGTACATGTATTCTGAATGTAAACATATATAGTGATTTAAAAATGAATGTGAATTTGTGAGAATTGAACGTGAAATTCTTTAGAATCCATTTACCTGAGTCTTCCTCATGAAACTCATTGGATAGTTGGGATACTGTTTTGTGACAGGAGGGTAGTTGATCTTGATTATGTTGATCTTGACCTTGATCTGAATATTCCTGGGAATAATTTTTTCTGCTTTTAACAGAAAATGAAATGGCACCTACAACACATAGGTACAAGATGTCAGATTAACCAGGGATTAAAATGAAAGGGTAGTAGTTTCATGTATTAAAGTAGTTCTAGTTTGAAAATAATAAACAAAACCCAAATATAAATTCTAAGTGTTAGTATCAGAACTAAACCTGATGGTAGTACAGAACAATTTAATGGGAAGTTCAAGGAAATGGTTTCAAAATTTCCATTAAAATGGTAATTTTTAAAAAGCTTTCTTATAATAATTAAGAAAATGAGGCAAATAGTAGGGTGATTATCAGCTTTCAGAAAACATATTGGTCTTGGGTGACTGTTCTTAAATATTTTCTCCCTAAGTCACTTTTTAGCACTCTATTGATTACTTCATTAAACAAATATTTTGTTTTCTATAGTATCCTAAGCATGAACTTTCCTTTAAACATTTAATGTGTAAACTATTAAACTTTATTACGAAAGGTTGTTAGTGTCCAAAATTGGCACTATCTTTCTGGAATATTTTTCTACTAAAATTGACTTATAAAAGATTGGTATTAACTTTTAAATTGAAGTTAATACACATAGGGAACTAATCCAGAAAATGGCCCTGAAAGCTCAATACCAGCTTGCCATATTCATATTCTTAGTACTCATGTTTAGGGGGTGGTTCAAATACTTTCTTCTCCCTCCTCATATTTAGCTGATCATATACCTACTTCACCAAGAAAATTGGCACTTTCAGAAAAGACCTTCTTTACAGTCTTAACACCACACTGACCAACCCTTGCATACTGGTGACTGTATCTTCAGGTTTTCCTTCTATAAGAGTGATTGATAAGAGTCCTACTTGGGATCAGCCTGTGGACCCAAGCACTGGATCCTGTCTACTCTAGTCTAAACAATGACCTTGCCATTGTCATGTACCCCACTCTCTTATGTATCTTCAGTTTTCCCTTTTTGAAACATGCTGTTACAGTATTCAAGTTCCAAAAAGCCTTTTCTTCATCTAATGTGTATGTGTGAAAATATACCTTTGTATATGTTTATACACACACACACACACACACATGTGTTAATACTACGTCAGGTTCAATATTAAAATCTGGATGAAATGCACTACATGAGTCACAAAGAATGGCAGAAGGCATAAGACAAATTCATGGATATTTAATTAATTTTTTCATCAAAGTGATATCTGGCACTGAACTAAGCAAGCTTAATAGGTGACTTCGTTCAAATTGGCAAAGTTAAAAATACTGTAACGGTATTTAAATTTTTAGGGAGAATTAAAGACAAAAATAGATGAAGTTACAGTTAAATATGTAATGCTTAAATAACAATTATACCAAAATGTAATAGAGATAATACATAGGACTACAGATTCAAAAAACTTACCACCCCAAAAAACTCAAGAATTAAAAGCAAAAATCGTATTATTCTTTCAAACTGATAACTCTTAATACTTTGGATAACATTCATTGTTAATGAGAGTGTTGAATAACAGCCCCCATCTCAGACATTGTTGGTTCAAGTACAAACTGGTATTACATTTTCTGGAGGGTATTTCTGCAACATGCACCAAACTGAGAATGCATGTCCCTTTTGGCATGCCAGTTCTTTTTATCCTATAAATAGATTATATCTTAAACCTTATCTCCATAGGTAGACCAGCATAGTGTGCAAAGAGTTATTTACAAAGATAGTGTTGCAATAGTGTTTGTAACTGCAAAAAGAAAAAAAAAGACTTAGTTAATTTCCACCTATGCATGGTTACATGAATTAAGATATATTTGGAATAGTGATCATCTAGTTAAAAGAAGGAAAAATCTATGAAAATAGAAATGAAGATATATCCATGATACTTTGAGCAACAGCAGCCATTTGCAGAGTTTTTTGTCCACAGGATCCACTGTGAGTGTGGGGAGTGTGTGTGTGTGTGTATGTGTGTGTGTGTGTGTGTGTGTGAATGATATATAGCTGAACCTTGAACAATGCAGGAGTTAGGAGAGCTGGACCTCTACACAGCTGAACATCCATGTATGACTTTTGACTCCCCAAAATTGAACTACTAATTGCCTACCATTGACTGGAAGCCTTATAGATCAGAAACATACTTTTTATATGTATTATTCTTACAATAAAGTAAGCCAGAGAGAATATGCTTTTTTTTCATCTCTAAAAAATTTGCCAATATATTTATTGAAAAACATCTGTGTATAAGTGGATCTGTGCAGTTCAAACCCATGCTGTCCGAGGGTATTATATAAATGTACTACATACAAATATGAATTGGTGCTTGGACAAAATTAATTTTCTCACAGTCTGAAGGTAAGATGTCTGAAATCAATGGGCCAGCAGAGCTGGTTCATTCTGGAGGTTATGAGAGAGATCTGTTCCATGACCCTCTCCCAGTGTCTGCTGTTAGCATTTCTGGCTTGTAAATGTATCATTCCAGTTTCTGCCTCTGTTTTCATGTGGTGTTCACTCCTGTGGCTATCTGTGCTTACTTTCCTCTTATAAGGACAAAAGTCACATTGGATTAAGGCCCATCCAAAGTCAGCATGACCTCATCTTAATTTGAATTGATCTGCAAAAACCCTATTTCTAAATAAGATCAAGTTCACAGTTATCAGTAGCTAAGATACTAACATACCTTTTGTGAGGATACAATTCAATCCAAAATAATAGGCAAAACATTTACGTCATTACTTGTAACTTTATAGATGGCTTTAGCTTATATGTCCCCATTTGATTTCAGTTAGTCACTTTATCCATTATCCAATCTCCTCTTTATGTCCTGATTATGACTCATAATTTTTACATTTTTAATCCTGTAACCATTAATATTTATCTTATGTGTATGAGAGGATCACTTTTTAACTAATTAAAATCAACAATGTGACACCTGGGTTCACGACTGGGGTTGTCTGTTACCAGCTGCATGCCTCTAACACCCCAAATGTGAAATGGAGGCACCACTGGGTAGCAGCTGGTGGCACTGGATGTTACCCAGTGTCCCTGGTATTACACGGGGTATTACTGGCTCCCTCCAGGTTTCTGAAAAGGCTCCTGACAGTTCACTGGTCTCCCAGCAGTTTACCAATTCCTAGGTGGACAGGATTGGCCCAGGCCGTGGCTGAGGAGGGCTTAAGCCAGGTCACAGGCTGCTTCAGGAGCCACAGTCAGACCAAGGTTGGCAGGCCTGCCTACAGGTACATGGGTGAGTGTCTCCCTCTGGGACTGTTCCCAGACTGTAGCTGTGAGGGCCTGGAGCCAGATTACATGGCTGCCTCCAGATACACAGTCAGACCCCGCTCAGTGGGCCTACCTCAGGGATGTGGACAAGCATGTTTTTCCTAGTAGGAGTATTCTCAGACCATGGCTGAGAGTGGCTGGAGCCACGTTACTGGGCCATTTCAGGATCTGCAGTTGGGCAAAGGTTGGAGGGCCTGCCTCAGGCCCAGACAGGTGTGTCTTCCTCCTGGCCCCCAGGTGGACAGGGATGGTGGCTAAGAGGGGCGAAGCTAAGTCACGGGCTACTTCGGCATCCATAGACGGGACAGAATTTGTGGATGTCACAAAGGGCACAGGCAGGCATTACTCCTACCAGACTCCTTGGCAGATAGGGTTGGTAGCAAGTTCGAAACCAAATGGGACGGTAACACAGTCCACCGGGGGACAGGGTTGTCTCCGGTCCACAGTCAGGACAACAGTTGGCAAGTCTGCCCCCTGCACATGAGCCTGCCTTTTCAAAATGGTGCTCCTGGGAATTGGACTCCACTGGGATTTTATAATCCCCATGGATGGCTTCCAAATTGTTGTTGCTGAAGGGAAAAACAAGGGGAGACCTCCTATTCCACCATCTTGCTGACATCACTCCAACTTACCATTTTCAATTCCTTTATTTTGAAACATCATCAAGTCACATAAGTTGTAGGTTAAATGTAATATTCTACTATAAACATAGATTTATTATTTTACCCAAGAGTTTGGTATGTGCTTATCAACACATTAGGGAAAGACAGGGTATATATTACATAAGCTTTGGACAGAACCTGGATTCAAACTTTTGTTCTGCTACTACTAATTTAGCCCTGAACATGATATTTACCCCATCTGCAAAATGGTATTAGTTGTTTTGAGGATTAAATGAGTATAGTTTATGTTTATATAGGACTTACTATATGCCAGGCATGGTCCTAGATGATTTACATATACTAACATTTTTTTGCAAAACATACCTGTAAGTCCTATTATTATCCCCATTTTAAAGAAGGGAAACTGTGACACAAGAAAGTTCAGTAGCTTGCCCAAAGTCAGTCACCTTGAAATAATATAGCTGGAATTTGAACATGAGCATTCTGGTTCAATGTTCACAATCTTTTTTCTTAACTAATAGAATTTACTTTTCAAAGTCTTAAGTTTACACAAAAAGAGTGTCTAGAGAGTTCCCATATACACCCCACTAGGTTCCCCTACTACAACCATCTTGCATTAGTGCAGTACATTACTTACAATTGGTGAACCAATGCTGATACACCCTTATTAACTAGAGTCCATAGTTTATATTCTGGTTCACTCTTTGTGTTGTGCATTTAATGGCTTTGGCAATCTATAATATCATGTATCTAACATTACAGTATCATGCAGAATAATTTCACTGTCCTAAAAATCCCCTGTACTCCACTTGTTCATTCCTCCTTCCCAACCCCCAAGGCACTGGCAACCGCTGACTTTTTACCTCTTCCAGAATGCCACGTAGTTGGAATCATAGAGCATGTGGCCTTCTCAAGTTGGCTTCTTTCATTAAGCAATATGCATTTGTTTCCTCCATGTCTTTTTGTGGCTTCATAGCTCCTTTGTATTTATTACAAAAAATATCCTGTTGCACAGATATACCACTGTTTATCCATTCACCTACTGTAGAACATTGTGGTTGCCTCCACATTTTGGCAATTGTGAATAAATCTGCTATATATATTCATGTGCAGATTTTTGTGTGGACATAAATTTTCAACTCATTTGGGAAAA